CCACCTCCTCCTCCCTGCTGACTGGTACGTCAGCCCGTCATTCCACGTCAGCCTACTTCGCCCTTACATCCCATCCACGAGCCAACTGCCACGAAATCGCCCAGCCAGCATGACACGTCCCCCAACCGAACCACTCATCACCCCCGAAAAAATCCTCAGCCACCGAGTCCGCGACCCTCGGGGAGCCCGAAGGATCGAGTTCCTAATTCGCTGGAAGGACCGAACGCCCACAGAAGACAACTGGGTCCCCCTGGATAAAATTGAGAACCACCCTGTCTTCACCGAGTATCTGCGAAGCCGAAATTTCCGCGACGTCCATGCGCTCTCGTAAGAGGGGCCTCCTTGGGGAGGGGGGTAGTGTAAGGAAATTCCCTTTTCCTTACTTCGCGTCCCTGCCCAGCGCGTACGTCACTGTAGCACCTCAGTCAGCACCGTTACCACTCGCGACCATCGCATCATTCATCATCCCGCCCTTTTTCGCACATCGCATCCCGACCTCACGGCTCGGCTGGTAACCCGCGCTCCGGGCCTACGCTTCGACACTTTCCCAACCTCAGTCCCAGGCTCGACGCGCGACAACCACAGTCCATTACCGTTACCACTATTGTTTCGCTATATAATCCTTCGCTCATGCCTTCACTCATTGTACTTTTGCTTCGATAGTGCAATTCTCGTTCGTTCACTCAATTGCACTCGTAACAGTTGACAACAGTTTGACTGCTCTTACGAGTTCAACTCTTCTTCAACTGAAAGCCACAAACGAGATCCCGGATCTTCCTCAACTGAACAAGTGCTTGATTACTCTCTTCCCGCCACACAATTCTGACACTTCTGACACATTTGGGACTGTTGGCCGACCATGGACGCTCTACAGTGGTATTCGAATTTGACTAGTGGGTCGGAACGGAACTTGCTGTATCATGGAGCTCCTATCGACGTAGTTTATAATTACCGGAGGAGGTGCTTTCCACTCTTCATTGCGCTTCCTGCGCTCGGGCAGCATCCCTTCAGGCCTAACCATTATAGGAGGTACTCCTGTCTAGCTTCCTTCGTTAGACATGTGTACCCTTCGTTATCGCTATGGAAGCATATGTCTGTTGTAGATCAAGCCTCGTCGTAAGGAGTTCCTGTTGTTGCGATAGGCTTCGTTCTTCGTTTCGTGGAGCCTTACTCCTGCCCTTCGATGCGAAACACCTCGGCAGATCGGCGGCTCAGTTGATCTGATGTGTTACCTCATTCGCACAACTGAACTTGTAATGTCGCATCTTCGTTCGCGCATGTGGTAACACCAGAAGGTGTTTATTCGCCACATTGGCGACCATGACTTTTTCAGAATCATGGGGATCTCTCGTCGCTGACGCACGTGCGAACGTCAAACCACCGACGAAGTCCAAACGGATTCCGTTAACGTTCCGGTTTAAGTCAACGTTGGCTCTATTTCAGCGGATTCTCCTCCCAGTAGCCCTTCTCCTTCAGCTCTTAGCAGGTATATTTTTCCTCCATCACTACCAATCCTCCACTTTCCTCCCTTCCACGTCGGATGTTTCATCTGCCCGAGGAAAAACTTTTCTAGCTGCCCTAGATGCGACTGCTTTCTCCAGTGTAGCCGATACTTCTCTTGCTATAGCAGGCTACAGTAAAATCGGCCGCACTGTATCTGATTCGGCGCGCAGCGGGTTCCAAAGAGAGAAGCTGGTTACCAGCAATCCTGCACGAGCGAAGATCAACAATGCAAGCAGCACTGTTACAGGAGCAACTGATGATGTAACCAGCAGTGTTACAGTAGCATCTGAGTATGTAACCGGTCTGGATCCACCAGTTATGCACACGTCTCGCATCTCATTGGGCCTTGATGACGTCACGATCACGTCACTCAACAGACTGCAGCAGTCAACCGGCTTGAAAGCGGCTCCGTTAGTGGTCAGTAACGGAAGGGGGAGAGGAGGAGGGTGGATGGGAGGGGGGAGCGGAAGGGGGAGAGGAGAGGTAAGCAGAGGGGCAAATGGAGGCGTGACAGCAGGGCTGAGGGGAGAGACCAGCGGAACAGGTTGGGGCGGAGGGGGGGAAACGGCGGAGGGGCGGAAAAGCGCAGGCAGGGGATGGTGGGGCTGGCTGGTAGGGGGAAGGGGAATGAAGGAAGGTGAGGGGATGGGAGAAAGGGGAGAAGAGGAAGGAGGAGGGGAGGGGGAGGAGTTAGGAGAGAATGAATCTTCGTCTCCTCATAAGCCGCTGTGGCTACGAAAGCTAGAGGAGAGAGACGCACAGGCATTGGCATTGCAGCAGCAGAAGGGTGAGGACGGAGGGGTTGAGGGGAAAAGAAGGGCGAGCGGGAAAGGAGGGAGGAGAGGTGGGGGTGGAGGTGGGAAGGGAGGAGGAAAGGGAGGAGGGAAGGGAGGAGGGAAAGGAGGGAAGGGAGGGGGGGAGGGAGGGGAGCTTCGAATAGTTGCAGGGAGGCTGGTGAGGAAGATTTCAAAATACGATATGCTGCTAAAGATGCTGGCGGAAGTTGCGAGGAAGGAGCAGCAGGCGAAGCGGGCGGTGGCTGAATGGAAGAGGCTCGGCAATCCGTGGCCTCCCGTCGTGGCTCGGCCGGACCTCCTGGCAAGGAACGAGCTCCCGGTTCGGAATGCGGATAAATTTCCCGAGGCAGGGGGAGGGGGAAGAGCGCAAACGGGAAGGGCGGAAGCGGAGAGAAAAGGAGGAGGAAGGCACGGGGGAGGCGGAGGGATAGGGCAGGAGGAGCAGGTGATCGTGGTGCTGTACGTGCACCAGCGGGCAGAGTACCTGAAGGTGGCTCTGAATGCTCTCTCTAAAGTCCAAGGCATCAACGAGACCCTCCTCATTGTCAGGTGCGTGCTTGTTGGTGAGCAGGTACCTCAGGCATAGAGGAGCAGTCAGTGGGGGTGATAGTGGTGCTGTATGTGCACAGGCGGGCAGAGTACCTGAAGGTGGCTCTGGATGCTCTTTCTAAAGTGCAAAGCATCAATGAGACCCTGCTCATCGTCAGGTGCGTGTCTGCTGGTAACCACGTGCTGCAGGGGGACAGTCAGTGGAGGTGGTATTGGTGATTTTTAAGACGTCTCGAAGGTGGTAGTGGTGCTGCATGTGCACAGGCGAGAGGAGCACCTGAATGTGGCTCTAGATGCTCTCGAGGTGACTTTTGAGTACATCGAGGTGACTCAAAAGATGTACTACCTTCAGGTAGTGGCTCTGGCACAGGAGGGCAGAGTACCTGAAAGTGGCTCTGGCACAGGAGGGCAGAGTACCTGAAAGTGGCTCTGGCACAGGAGGGCAGAGTACCTGAAAGTGGCTCTGGCACAGGAGGGCAGAGTACCTGAAAGTGGCTCTGGCACAAGAGGGCAGAGTACCTGAAAGTGGCTCTGGCACAGGAGGGCAGAGTACCTGAAAATGGCTCTGGCACAGGAGGGCAGGGTACCTGAAAGTGGCTCTGGCACAGGAGGGCAGAGTACCTGAAAGTGGCTCTGGCACAAGAGGGCAGAGTACCTGAAAGTGGCTCTGGCACAGGAGGGCAGAGTACCTGAAAATGGCTCTGGCACAGGAGGGCAGGGTACCTGAAAGTGGCTCTGGCACAGGAGGGCAGAGTACCTGAAAGTGGCTCTGGCACAGGAGGGCAGAGTACCTGAAAGTGGCTCTGGCACAGGAGGGCAGAGTACCTGAAAGTGGTTCTGGATGCTCTCTCTAAAGTCCAAGGCATCAACGAGACCCTCCTCATCATCAGGTGCGAACCTGCAGACGGTCAAGTGCTGGTAGCGTAGAGATGGGAGCATGAGTAGCGGGTGACAGTGGCACAGGCGGGAAGAGTACCCAAGAGTGGCTCTGGATGCTCTCTCTAAAGTCCAAGGCATTAATGAGACGCTCCTCATTGTCAGGTGCGCTGTGAGTGTGTGTGAGCGCGAAGGGTACTGCAAGGTGCAATGCAAGGGGTGCTGCTAGGAGCAGGTGATAGTGGCGCGAATACCTGAAGGTGCTTTAGATGCTCTGTCTGAAGTCCAAGGCATCAACGAGACCCTCCTCATTGTCAGGTGCGTGCTTGTTGGTGAGCAGGTACCTCAGGCTTGTTGTTGGTGCGTGCCTGCTGATAACCGACTTTTCAGACGTCTCAAAAGCCTGCTGATAACCGACTTTTCAGACGTCTCAAAAGCCTGCTGATAACCGACTTTTCAGACGTCTCAAAAGCCTGCTGATAACCGACTTTTCAGACGTCTCAAAAGCCTGCTGATAACCGACTTTTCAGACGTCTCAAAAGCCTGCTGATAACCGACTTTTCAGACGTCTCAAAAGCCTGCTGATAACCGACTTTTCAGACGTCTCAAAAGCCTGCTGATAACCGACTTTTCAGACGTCTCAAAAGCCTGCTGATAACCGACTTTTCAGACGTCTCAAAAGCCTGCTGATAACCGACTTTTCAGACGTCTCAAAAGCCTGCTGATAACCGACTTTTCAGACGTCTCAAAAGCCTGCTGATAACCGACTTTTCAGACGTCTCAAAAGCCTGCTGATAACCGACTTTTCAGACGTCTCAAAAGCCTGCTGATAACCGACTTTTCAGACGTCTCAAAAGCCTGCTGATAACCGACTTTTCAGACGTCTCAAAAGCCTGCTGATAACCGACTTTTCAGACGTCTCAAAAGCCTGCTGAGAACCGAGAGCCTTAGGGGAGCAGGCAGTGGTGATAGTGGTGCTGTATGTGCACAGGCGGGAAGAGTACCTATGAGTGGCGTTAAATGCTCTGTCTGAAGTCCAAGGAATCAACGAAACCCTCCTCATTGTCAGGTGCGTGCCTGCTGGTTATTAGGTGCCATAGACATAGCGGCCGGGGTCTTCCCTTCCTGCAGTCGACGCCCTCGTCCGCTCAATCACCTTCTGCCCTGTCAAGCAGATCTACTCCCCACTCTCCCACATCTCCACGTCTCTACCTTCCCCTCTCCCTGCACTGCACCTCCTGATTGTCTCCTTCCCTCCCTCTCCCCCCTTTGTGCATGCATCTTCCCCCCTCCCTCTCCGCCCCTTGTGCACGCATCCTCCCCCCTCCCTCTCTGCCCCTTGTGCACGCATCTTCCCCCCTCCCTCTCCGCCCCTTGTGCACGCATCTTCCCCCCTCCCTCTCACCAGCCACGATGGGTTCTTCCCAGCAGTTGACTCGCTCATCCGTGCTATCACATTCTGCCACGTCTCTTTCCCTTCCTCTCCGCCCCTTTTGCTCCCGTTTCCCTTCTTCTCAACAGTCACCCTCTGTGTCCCCCCATTGCCCCCATTTCCCACCTCTTACTCAACAGCCACGACGATCTTCCCTCCCTGCAGTCGACGCCCTCGTCCGCTCAATCACCTTCTGCCCTGTCAAACAGATCTACTTCCCCCTCTCCCACCTCTCCACGTCGCTACCTTCCCCTCTCCCTGCACCTCCTAATGGTCTCCTTCCCTCCCTCTCCGCCCCTTCTGCACTCATCTCCCCCCACCCCCTCTCAACAGTCATGACGGGTTCTTCCCTGCAGTCGACGCCCTCGTCCGCGCAATCACCTTCTGCCCTGTCAAACAGCTCCACTTCCCCAGCGCCCCATTAATCATCTGTTCTTCGCCCATATATTGTGCCTACTCCCCCCTCTCACCAGCCATGACGGGTTCTTCCCTGCAGTCGACGCCCTCATCCGCTCAATCACCTTCTGCCCTGTCAAGCAGATCTACTTCCCCCTCTCGCTGCACCTCCAAAACGGCTCCTTCCCCAACCGCTCCCCCTTAGACTGCCCTTCTAGCAGCAGCTTTAAAGGCCGCAGGGATGGGCAGCAAGAGGAGGGGCAGAGAAAAGGGAAAAACGGGCAGGGAAATGGGCAGAAGGAGGGGCTGGAAAACGGGCAGGAGGAGGGGCAGAAGGAGGAGAGGAAAGAGGAGGGAGCGTGTTTTGGAGACGTGGACCAGAATGGGCGGTACAGGGATCCACACTTCGTGGCGTTAAAGGTACATGCTGTGGGACTAGTCATTCAGTAAGGTCAGGTGTCGTGTTATTAACGCCTAGCCAGCAGGCTAAGGCGTGAATTACACAGCAGCCAGGTAATTGTGCATTTCTGGACTTGTACTCTAATTTCTTTTGTGTGCGTGGTATGTACTGTACATACGCTTTACAGAGCCGAGTGCAGGGAAATTCGAGGAGGTTGGTACAGAAGAGGGAATTCGATTCCAGCTGGGAATTCGATTCCAGGTTGGGAATGCAATTCCAGCTGGGAATGCGATTCCAGGCTAGGAACTCGATTCCAGCTGGATTGCAGTGCATGCCTAGTGGGCCCAGTGGGAGCCAGCTAGCACCTAGGAGCCATCACGAGCAGTGCAGCTGACTCGCGTCTGGCACTAGAGTTAGCGTGCTGCAGAAGGAACCTAGGCAGGAGGAGGAGGGAATGTAGTCGAGGGTAGCACTCAGGTTTCTCGCTTTTTGCTTGTATGTTTCTCTTCTTACCGTAATCTTGTTTTCCTAAGCCAAAGGAAGCTAGCAGTAGGGAGAAGCAGGAGCAATCTGACGGAGCCCTTGCGAGGGGGTTTAGACTTGTTCATACAAGCAAAAAGTTGCAGTGCTGAAATTTCAGCAGAACAGGTACGAACGCCTGGAGGACCTGCGGTGATGCACCGTAAGGGATGAGCGGCCTTGATCAAGAACTACATACTCATCAGCTGCGTTCAGGTCACAGATTTCCTGCGCGGAGGATGGAGGGGCAAGACCTGCCGACTAAGACGCCTGGGTTCCGAGCAGAAGAAGGAACAGCGAACGCGAGTGGTAATAGCAGCGCGGATCAAGGAAAGGAGGGCGACCGACGGGGAGAGCCTCCACTGGGCTCTAACTGCAATTCGCCAGCGCCAGGGATGGGATCCCGATCAGCCGGGGTTGGAGGATCTCAGCGTGGAACCCCAGAACCGAGAGTGGGAGACCATAAGGAAGATCAGCGGAGCCAGCGAGAAGGAGAGGCGTTTCACGGATTCTCTGCTGGAAGATACGAATCCAGGGAGGCCGGAAGAGGAGATCAGCATGTGGGGATTGGCGAGAGGGGAACGGCGAGCTGGGGAACGGGCAGAACGATAAGTGCAGCTCCACCTAAGATTGAGGTGCCAGATCGCTTCTCAGGAGCGCCTGGAGAGGAGCCCACGCTGAAGAATTACCTTATGATGGTGGATGACATCCGATACTGCTGGGAGAGGGAGGGGCATGATCCCATTGAATTCTTCAGAGGATTGGGGAGAACGCTCAAGGGGGAAGCGCTGACGCACTACTGGGTGGAGAGACAAGGGTTGTTGCTGTAGAGTAAACGGGGAGACTTCGCGCCGGCGGAAATCACCGACCGATTCCTGGAAGGCCCGCGAGAACAATTCCCGGGACATTCAGCAGATCGGATGACAGAGTTCCAATATTTTAAGAGAGCGAGAGGAGAATCTCTGCTAGCGTACTATAATCGACTGATGGAGCTGGCCGAAGACATGGGCTGCCTGGAAGAACGGACCTTGGTGTCGAAGTTTGTGGGTGGATTGGATGAAGACCTGATGCAAGATATGCGGAGCCGACTGTACGCGCTGGGGATGAAGGCGAAATTGCGACAAGTGTATCAGGTTGCGAAAGAGGTAGAGGAGGGAAGAAGGTTCTTCGATGGGTTACGCGGAGCGAGCTCAGGAAGATCAGGCGAACGCAGGAGGCCGGCGTGGGCTGCGGTGGAAGGAAAGCGGATGGAAGAAGAACGGAGAGAAAAACCATTTGAAGACAAGCGACGGTGTCACAAGTGCGGGGAACACGGGCATCTGCGAAAGGATTGCGCCATCGACATCATATGCGACATCTGCAAGGAGAAAGGGCATTTCAGGCGGAATTGTCCCAAGGCGCCGATCTGCACCTTCTGTAGGAAACGGGGACATACGGAAGAAAGGTGCTACAGCAAGAAGGAGAAGGGGGGAGAAAAATCCGCTAGAGAACAGCAGTTGGAGAGGGAGTTAGCAAAGCTGAAGGCGCAGATGGGTAAGGTGGAGATCAGCGAAGACCCAGAGAAAGCGCTACTAGCTTGGGAAGACGACGAAGAGGAAGATTACGGGGAGGGAGAAGCTGAGTATGGGACAATGGCCATGCCACCCAGGGACCGCGAAAGTTTGGGGTTGAGGAGTGGAGGGAAGGACGGTAGAGCGGAGCTGAAGCAGCCAATGAGAAGAACTTCAAAGGTACCTGAGGGGACTAACAAGCCGAAGACAGCTCGGCGGCACCCTGAAGAGCGACTGGTCTGCCAGCCCACGGCTCTGGTGGTGGAACCGAAGGGTGTAGCGGTACGAGGGATTCTGGTAGAAAATGCCGTGGTGGATACAGGCGCGCAGAGTGTGTTGCTGGGAAGAAAGCTGACCGAGCAGCTAAAGGCGCAAGGAGGTTGGGAAACAGTGAGACGGGGAATACTGAACATGACCGCAGAGGGAGGAGGGGCTCCTAAGTGGATGCCATGCACTAAGGATCTGATTGAGATTACGCTGCAGCCGGGAGGGGAGGGAGAGACAACGATAAGGGTGCAGTGCGGACTGACAGAATCAGACGACTACGACATTTTACTGGGAATGGAGTTGCTCTACAAGATAGGGACTACGATATGCACCTGGCAGGAGCAAGTACTATACCGCTCGGATTTCTGGGAGGAAGGGAAGGAGCTGAGTGAGCTGCCGGTGCGTTTCATCAAGACCGAACCAAAGAAAGCCTGGAGGGCAGGAGGCATGGGGAGAGGAGGAAGTAAAAGCGGTGGGAAGATCATGGAAATCCAGCCGGGGGCAAGCATAGACCAGTACAGTGTCACACTAGTGGAGCTGTTCGGGGGGCTGAGAGCCGGTTTAGCAGCAGCGCTAGAGGCCGGCCTAAGGGTGAAGAAGTGGATCTATGTGGAGGTGGATCCCGAAGTCCGGAGGATGGCCTGGAAACACGCACAGATACTGCAGCTGCGGTACCCCGCCCAGCTGAGGAAAGATGTGGTGAAGGAGGCCATGCAGAACAAGAAATGGGATGTGAAGCAGATTACCCAAGAAGACATAAAGAAGGAGGTGGCAGAAGCAATTAGACAGGTACTACAGCAGCACAGAGGTACTTTCGCATACAACTTACAGGAGCTGGGAAGATACAAAGGGAGAGAGTTGGAGTTAAACTTAACCACGGAGCTGCCCACTTATCAGCGCAGGAGGCGGATGAATGCAGAAGATGCGGCGATCCGCAAGGAGAAATGCGCGGAGCTGCTGGCAGCAGGCATAATACGCCCGTCAGAGTCGAGTTATGCAGCAGGCACGGTAGTAGCTGTCAGAAAAGACATCACGGGGAAGGTGTTAGCAAAGCGGATGTGTGGAGACTTGAGGGACCTGAACAAGATCACCAGCCCAGACCGATATCCCATGCCGACTGCGGATGATATCTTCGATAAACTAGATGGAGCAACGATCTTCTCCACCCTGGACTTACGACAAGGATTTAACAAAATCGCTATCAAGGAAGGGGACAAGCGAAAAACAGCCTTTCACGGAGTGGATGGGCTGTACGAATACAATTTGATGCCATTCGGGATATGCAATGCGCCAGCGGTGTTTCAACGGGCTATGGATCAGATGCTGAAGGGAATCCCAGCAGCAGCCTGTTACATTGATGATGTGCTCATCTTCAGTGGAAGCGACGAACAGCATGTACAGGACTTGAAGCAGACTCTGGAGGCGATAGCAGCTGCAGGACTAACATGCCACCCGGACAAGTGCAAGATAGCCCGCCGTACAGTGGCGTACCTGGGGTTTGAGGTGAGGGGGGGGCGGCTGGCGATACAGGAAGTTAAAGTCAAGGTGCTGGACGATTTGGCTGCACCGAAAGACAAATCTGGGCTAAGGGCACTTCTTGGCTTCCTGAACTATTACAGGAAGTTCGTGCCGAATTTCAGTCGCCGAGCGCACGCCTTGAACCAGCTGCTCAGAGAGGGGAAGAGTTGGCAGTGGGGAGATACGGAGGAAGCAGCCAGGCAAGATTTGCTGGAAGCAGTGAAGACGGGTACCCTGCTGCAGATACCTCGGGCAGATGCGCCATTTGTTCTTTACACCGACTGGAGCAGTATGGGGATGGGGGCAGTGCTTTGCCAGGACATAGATGGGGAAGAGAGAGTCGTAGCATTGGCCAGTCGCAGCTGTAGCCCTAGGGAAGCTAACTACAGCTCGTACGAAGGGGAGGGACTGACCGCTGTGTGGGGGTATCACCCACTTCAAAGTGTACCTGCAAGGCCGGCACTTCACGCTAGTGACTGACCACCAGCCCTTGCTATGGTTGATGAAAAACCAAGAACTGACGGGCAGGAACGCCAGGTGGGCAATCAAACTGTTGGGATTCGATTTCGATATCCGTCACCGACCGGGTAAGACGCTGCAACACGCGGATGGGTTATCCAGGAACCCGCCTCCGATTCAGCCAGTTGCACAGCTGATAGCATTAGCACAGGTGGCAGAGGTGACCTGGGGGCAAGAGAAGGGAGAGCAGCGGCAGGTGGATGTGTGGGAAGATCAGGAGACCATGGGGTGGATAAAAGGAGAGCCGTTAGAGGACTCAGGAGTAAGCGAACGGGCCAGGGCCAGGGGGCAGCATTACCGATGGTTTCAGGATCAGTTACAGCTGCGCACTAGCGAAGGATGGAGCGTCGTGCCACAGCCGCAAGACAGGGAGAGGATCATGCTAAAGGTCCATGGGAACTTGGGGCATTACGGGATAGCCAGGACTCGACAGCTGCTGAGCACTATGTACTGGTGGGCAAGCATGAGGAAGGACGTAGCTGCAATGGTAGCAGCCTGCGAAGCTTGTCAGCGAAACAAGGCGGCTTTGGAGAGAGAAAGAGACGAGCTGCAATCCCTACCAATTCGAGGCTTGGGGTACCGATGGTCGCTGGATTTGGCAGGAGAGCTGCCGCTGTCTACCAAAGGAAAGCAGTATATCCTGGTAATGATAGGGCATACCAGCAAGTGGGTGGAGG